GCTTTAAAACTTGCTATTAAAATTAAACAAGTAAGTGTATAAAAATTATAAATACTATTATCAAACTTTATTATTCAACCATGCTTTAAAACTTGCTATTAAAATTAAACAAGTAAGTGTATAAAAATTATAAATACTATCATCAAACTTTATTATTCAACCATGCTTTAAAACTTGCTATTAAAATTAAACAAGTAAGTGTATAAAAATTATAAATACTATCATCAAACTTCATTATTCAACCATGCTTTAAAACTTGCTATTAAAATTAAACAAGTAAGTGTATAAAAATTATAAATACTATTATCATACTTTATTATTCAACAATGCTTTAAAACTTGCTATTAAAATTAAACAAGTAAGTGTATAAAAATTATAAATACTATTATCAAACTTTATTATTCAACCATGCTTTAAAACTTGCTATTAAAATTAAACAAGTAAGTGTATAAAAGTTATAAATACTATTATCAAACTTTATTATTCAACAATGCTTTAAAACTTGCTATTAAAATTAAACAAGTAAGTGTATAAAAATTATAAATACTATCATCAAACTTTATTATTCAACCATGCTTTAAAACTTGCTAATAAAATTAAACAAGTAAGTGTATAAATATTATAAATACTATTATCAAACTTTATTATTCAACCATGCTTTAAAACTTGCTATTAAAATTAAACAAGTAAAGGTATAAAAATTATAAATACTATTATCAAACTTTATTATTCAACAATGCTTTAAAACTTGCTATTAAAATTAAACAAGTAAGTGTATAAAAATTATAAATACTATTATCAAACTTTATTATTCAACCATGCTTTAAAACTTGCTATTAAAATTGAACAAGTAAGTGTATAAAAATTATAAATACTATTATCAAACTTTATTATTCAACCATGCTTTAAAACTTCCTATTAAAATTAAACATGTAAGTGTATAAAAATTATAAATACTATTATCAAACTTTATTATTCAACCATGCTTTAAAACTTGCTATTAAAATTAAACAAGTAAGTGTTTAAAAATTATAAATACTATTATCAAACTTTATTATTCAACCATGCTTTAAAACTTGCTATTAAAATTAAACAAGTAAGTGTATAAAAATTATAAATACTATTATCAAACTTTATTATTCAACCATGCTTTAAAACTTGCTATTAAAATTAAACAAGTAAGTGTATAAAAATTATAAATACTATCATCAAACTTTATTATTCAACCATGCTTTAAAACTTGCTATTAAAATTAAACAAGTAAGTGTATAAAAATTATAAATACTATCATCAAACTTCATTATTCAACCATGCTTTCAAACTTGCTATTAAAATTAAACAAGTAAGTGTATAAAAATTATAAATACTATTATCAAACTTTATTATTCAACAATGCTTTAAAACTTGCTATTAAAATTAAACAAGTAAGTGTATAAAAATTATAAATACTATTATCAAACTTTATTATTCAACAATGCTTTAAAACTTGCTATTAAAATTAAACAAGTAAGTGTATAAAAATTATAAATACTATTATCAAACTTTATTATTCAACCATGCTTTAAAACTTGCTATTAAAATTAAACAAGTAAGTGTATAAAAATTATAAATACTATTATCAAACTTTATTATTCAACCATGCTTTAAAACTTGCTATTAAAATTAAACAAGTAAGTGTATAAAAGTTATAAATACTATTATCAAACTTTATTATTCAACAATGCTTTAAAACTTGCTATTAAAATTAAACAAGTAAGTGTATAAAAATTATAAATACTATTATCAAACTTTATTATTCAACAATGCTTTAAAACTTGCTATTAAAATTAAACAAGTAAGTGTATAAAAATTATAAATACTATTATCAAACTTTATTATTCAACCATGCTTTAAAACTTGCTATTAAAATTGAACAAGTAAGTGTATAAAAATTATAAATACTATTATCAAACTTTATTATTCAACCATGCTTTAAAACTTCCTATTAAAATTAAACATGTAAGTGTATAAAAATTATAAATACTATTATCAAACTTTATTATTCAACCATGCTTTAAAACTTGCTATTAAAATTAAACAAGTAAGTGTTTAAAAATTATAAATACTATTATCAAACTTTATTATTCAACCATGCTTTAAAACTTGCTATTAAAATTAAACAAGTAAGTGTATAAAAATTATAAATACTATTATCAAACTTTATTATTCAACCATGCTTTAAAACTTGCTATTAAAAGTAAACAAGTAAGTGTATAAAAATTATAAATACTATCATCAAACTTTATTATTCAACCATGCTTTAAAACTTGCTAATAAAATTAAACAAGTAAGTGTATAAAAATTATAAATACTATTATCAAACTTTATTATTCAACCATGCTTTAAAACTTGCTATTAAAATTAAACAAGTAAGTGTATAAAAATTATAAATACTATTATCAAACTTTATTATTCAACCATGCTTTAAAACTTGCTATTAAAACTAAACAAGTAAGTGTATAAAAATTATAAATACTATTATCAAACTTTATTATTCAACCATGCTTTAAAACTTGCTATTAAAATTAAACAAGTAAGTGTATAAAAGTTATAAATACTATTATCAAACTTTATTATTCAACAATGCTTTAAAACTTGCTATTAAAATTAAACAAGTAAGTGTATAAAATTATAAATACTATTATCAAACTTTATTATTCAACCATGCTTTAAAACTTGCTATTAAAATTAAACAAATAAGTGTATAAAAATTATAAATACTATTATCAAACTTTATTATTCAACCATGCTTTAAAACTTGCTATTAAAATTAAACAAGTAAGTGTATAAAAATTATAAATACTATTATCAAACTTTATTATTCAACCATGCTTAAAAACTTGCTATTAAAATTAAACAAGTAAGTGTATAAAAATTATAAATACTATTATCAAATTTTATTATTCAACCATGCTTTAAAACTTGCTATTAAAATTAAACAAGTAAGTGTATAAAAATTATAAATACTATCATCAAACTTTATTATTCAACCATGCTTTAAAACTTGCTATTAAAATTAAACAAGTAAGTGTATAAAAATTATAAATACTATCATCAAACTTTATTATTCAACCATGCTTTAAAACTTGCTATTAAAATTAAACAAGTAAGTGTATAAAAATTATAAATACTATTATCAAACTTTATTATTCAACCATGCTTTAAAACTTGCTAATAAAATTAAACAAGTAAGTGTATAAAAATTATAAATACTATTATCAAACTTTATTATTCAACCATGCTTTAAAACTTGCTATTAAAATTAAACAAGTAAGTGTATAAAAATTATAAATACTATTATCAAACTTTATTATTCAACCATGCTTTAAAACTTGCTTTTAAAATTAAACAAGTAAGTGTATAAAAATTATAAATACTATTATCAAATTTTATTATTCAACTATGCTTTAAAACTTGCTATTAAAATTAAACAAGTAAGTGTATAAAAATTATAAATACTATTATCAAACTTTATTATTCAACCATGCTTTAAAACTTGCTATTAAAATTAAACAAGTAAGTGTATAAAAATTATAAATACTATCATCAAACTTTATTATTCAACCATGCTTTAAAACTTGCTATTAAAATTAAACAAGTAAGTGTATAAAAATTATAAATACTATCATCAAACTTTATTATTCAACCATGCTTTAAAACTTGCTATTAAAATTAAACAAGTAAGTGTATAAAAATTATAAATACTATTATCAAACTTTATTATTCAACAATGCTTTAAAACTTGCTATTAAAATTAAACAAGTAAGTGTATAAAAATTATAAATACTATTATCAAATTTTATTATTCAACCATGCTTTAAAACTTGCTATTAAAATTAAACAAGTAAGTGTATAAAAATTATAAATACTATCATCAAACTTTATTATTCAACCATGCTTTAAAACTTGCTATTAAAATTAAACAAGTAAGTGTATAAAAATTATAAATACTATTATCAAACTTTATTATTCAACAATGCTTTAAAACTTGCTATTAAAATTAAACAAGTAAGTGTATAAAAATTATAAATACTATTATCAAATTTTATTATTCAACCATGCTTTAAAACTTGCTATTAAAATTAAACAAGGAAGTGTATAAAAGTTATAAATACTATTATCAAACTTTATTATTCAACAATGCTTTAAAACTTGCTATTAAAATTAAACAAGTAAGTGTATAAAAATTATAAATACTATTATCAAACTTTATTATTCAACCATGCTTTAAAACTTGCTATTAAAATTAAACAAATAAGTGTATAAAAATTATAAATACTATCATCAACTCATATCTAAAATAAATTGCTCAGATTTAAATAATTTCCTCTTTTAAAATTTTTTATAGTGCTATATTTTGGCACTTTTTTTTTTAGTTTTCTATATTTTTAATAGTAAACTGTGGCAAGTATTTTAAACGTTTTCCCTGAATCAAAATTTTTTCTATAAATTTCAAATCAACTGAATTGTTTACATTGGTATTAGTTTATAAAAAAAATAATACTTCATAATATTGTAAACCTTCAATGATTTCATATGCTTGAGTATTTAAATTTCAAACTATTTGAAATAATTTAAAATCGTTTAAAACTCAAGCAAATATAAAATGTAAAAGTAAACAGTGTTTTCATTATACATTTTGTGATTGGCCGAGATTTTACAATATTTTAAACATCACATCATGTAAATGCAGTGTGCGTCTATAAGTATAATGCTAACCAAATCAATAAAGTATACCAATTAAGATAAAATTAGTAGCGCATGAGTAAAAGCAATGCTTCTTTTTTATTTTGTGGGTGCTAATGAGATCTTTAACTCATTATTAAACTATGATTTTGAGAAAAATTTAATATATATTTTTGAAACATTAATCCAAGATGTTAAAATAGGTTCCTAAACAATCCAAATATTTTATATGAACCAACTATTTCTAACACAAAGTACACTTTGTTTGTTTTTAGATGTCAACTCGTACTGCAAACCTAACTTAAATGTGCAAATTAACTGGCTAATGATTGAGTAAGTGTTTTCAAAGTATTATTAATTTTTTTTTTGTAGTTTAGTACAAACCTATTAAACTTTAAATGAAAGTTACAACTCTACTATATATTGTATTAAACAACTATATATTTTATACATTTTTGTGCAAGGACCATTACTTTGGCAAAATGTTTTTAATTTATTTAATGTTCTTATTTTTTTTTCATAACAAACAAGCTGATGCTTAAAATCCGATGAAGATAAATATATCCTTTAAATATCTAGTATATCCTCTTTTTTTTCTTTTGTTAAGTTAAACAAATTTTTTAAATTTGTTAGAAGTACATTTACAAAATTTGACATCAAAGTGGTGTTCTGTATAAATTACAATCAAACCTTTGACTGTTTAATTAAAATTTTAAAGTTAGGAACTCAAAAAGCGAACTTGAGTAAAATTCGACTTTTGCTTGAAGTCTGACTTTGTTAAGTTAGATTTCAAAAACTACTTTAACAAATGCTTAAACGAAACTTGAAAGCATCAAGATTGCGTTAGAGAAAGTTAAACTTGAATAACTTAAAAGTCGTTAATCTAAAGGCAGAATAGGAAAAAAATTTTGCAAAAAATAGCGGCTGAGAATTTCAAAAAGGAAAAGACTTTTAAAAACAGCAACTTAACTATTTCTTTGTAAATAAACTTTTTGAGTTTCATACTTCAAAATATTAAAAATAAATTAAAAAGTGTTACAAAAACAAAATTTTTTTATTTTTGTATTTTATTTCTTATTAAACATTAAGTTGTAAATGCGCATTCAAAACATGTTTGAATACTCATTATTCTGGTTTGTATGTTAGCCATTTTTTCGTGTCAAACACGGATTAGAAATACGCTTCAGATGCGTATAAAAATGAGTATGCAATGGGCTTCCTACTGAGTATCAAACTCGCATTTAAAACTCTTGAAAATACGCATAAAAGACTGTAAAAAGATATTATTTATTATATTCGATTATTAGATACAGTGTTTTCTTGATACTAAATGCACCATTAAAACTTTTCAGAATACGTGTTATTCACGAAAGTATCTTAGCCATTTTACCGAGTAGAACACGTACGAGAAATACGTTTTAGACGCGTAGATTAATGGACACATAACACGCATCTAAAACGTGTTTTTATAACATTTATTTCCAAAAGCGCAAAGCATCGGTTTTAAAAATAATAACAAAAATCTAAAACTTGAAAACTTTATTAAATGAATTTGTACAGTGTTCACATCTGTGTATGCACATCTATATTATAGTTTTTATAATATAATAAAAATGCATATTATGTTCATTTTATAATAACAAAATTGCACTAAAATTAGTTGTATACCAATTTATAGTAAGATTTACTTACGTTGTATTATATAAATATATTAATTTTAACAATTACTGTTTATACAACTAAAAATACGCTATACAATATTATATTCAAAAATTACATTATTACACAAACATTTAAAACCCATTTTATTGAAAGATTTTACTGCATTCGCCTTTAGTAATACATCATAAAGAAGGACGATTTCAAAAAAAACAAAACTTCTGATGTTTTTCGATTGTTCTTTCAAATTTAAGAAATCTATATCAGAAAAAAAGAAATAACTTTAACCAAAGCAAAAGTTCTTATCTAAATCAGAATGTAGCCAGTTTAAAGTGAGACACAACCACATTTACAAAAATATTAAAAGTTTCAATTGAGTTAGTTTTACCTTTCTGTATTCTTTGCCGCTAATTTTGCTTTCATCGCCATCTTTAATAAAACAAAAAGCAAAGAACTTTATATTTTGTATAACACTATATAACTGCGTTCGCCTTAGGTAGTGCATCATTATGAAAGATGATTTCGGAGAAAAACAAAACTTCTGATGTTTTTTGGTTGTTCTTCCGAGTTTAAGAAATCTTTATCAGAAACAAAGAAATTAAGTGACCGCTGTATTTCGAAAATGTGACGAGTCACTAAACTAAAATTTTACAGATTAAAAATGTTTTTCCTGTAAAAAATTTTGTCTTTATTTAATTAAAACTTTTTTTTTTTAATCTAAAAAAAATATTAATTTTATCTAAATAAAATCTTAATTTCATCTGAAAAAATCTTAATTTTATCTAAAAAAATCTTAATTTTATCTAAAAAAATCTTAATTTTATCTTAAAAATTTAAATTTTATCTTAAAAAATCTTAAATTTATCTGAAAAAAATCTTAACTTTATCTAAAAAAATCTTAGTTTTATCAAAAAAAATCTTTATTTAATCTAAAAAATTTCATCTTCTCCTAAAAAAAAAAATTTCCTTAAATTATCCTCACTTTTGAAAAAAGTGTGACTTGTCACGTTTACGAAAGCGTTCATTTAACCAAAGGAAAAGTTCTTACTTAAACCTGAATGCATACAGCCAGTTTGTAGACACATACCACATCCGTAAAACTATTTAAAGTTTCAATTGAGTTAGTTCTATTTTTCTGGACACTCATTTTGTCTTCATCTTTAATCTAAAAATCTCTATGAAAAATAATTTTTAAACATAAAATTTCTTAAAAACCAGCATTAAGTAATCTCCAAAAATATTTTAGAGAAATTATAAAATAGAAGTAATCTAATTAGTAAATAAAATGAAAGGCAAATACTTCTTAGAACATATCGCTATGAAAAATAGTTTGCTTGTAGTTGGAGGTTGTTTTAACCTTCTTGCAAGAAGGTAAGTCGTCAAATAAAGCTTGCCAATCCCTAAAAAACAAAAATAAAAAATTACTACCGTCCTATCAACTTATCATACAAGTTCTATTTTTATTTAATTTCAAAGTTTTAATTTATAAGTCTACACATTACTGTAATTTGCATATCTTGTTTAACAGCCTAGCTTTAAATGTTTCGTTGTGGATTAAATAGTTAACCTTAAGCTCAACTCAACCTTATGTAATAAATTAAACTTAAACCATTAAATAAACTTAGCTTAAACCAATAGAACTACTATAAAAATCGACACCTTAATTGATTAAAAATAAATAAAAAATATGACATTAAGAGAGGTGTCATCTTATTGATATTTTTATCACAGGTAATCAAAACTATTAGAAATAAATTCATTTTATATTTTAAATATGTTTTCTTTTTCATGAAGGTAATATCAAAATATCTTGAAATGATATAAATAAAATCAAAATCTAAAAAATACGTTAAATATTCTAAATAAAAATAATTTCTGAGATCAAGATATAATCAAAACCTCATACAAGGTATATTTGATACCTTGCATTAGATGTTTATCAACTTTAAAAAACAAACTACAAGCCGTTTTTTTTTTTTGAACATGCAGCATATAATGGATATTATTGATTATAAATAAGAGAAACACAGTTTTTTAAGATAAAACATTTGAATAAAAAATTAATATTTTATAATATAAATTATATTAACTGATATGTTGATACACGTAATAATTAAAGTTCTTTACAATGTAAAGAATTAATTGTTCTGCTATTAGCAGAACAATAAACATTGTTTAGCTTAAGCATTATCTGTAGCAGTTTATTCCCACCACTAGAATTATTCCATCCCCCTATGAAAAACTCAAAACGAGATTGCGCTTTCGGGTTATAACTGTTAAAAGTGCACCTAAAACGTCCGTACTACCTTGGTAAACGTAAACAGGGAGAAAATAACATTAAGAGAACAAGAATTCTAGAAATATAGTTTACACCAAAGTAATATAAGAAAGACGATATAAGAAAGAGTTGTAGTGAAAAAAAGCAACTATAATCTAACTAGTTATTCATTTAAATGAAAATGTTTTACAAGTATTTTTATTATATAACAGTATTTGTTAAAGTAAAATTCAGACATATAAATTATATAAGTATTAATATATGTCTGAATTTAGATATTCAGACAGATATAATTTATATCTGTCTGAATTTCACTTTTACTTATACTGTTATATAATATAATTATTTGTAGAACATGCCTTATTTAAAGAGTCGTCAAAAAAACGCAACGATTATATAACAAGTTTTTTAAAAAAAAAAAAAAAAAAAAAAACATTATTAATGAAACTAATTACAAAAAATGAAAACCCGTTTTCGAGATGGTTATTAAAAAGTCAAAGAAATAATAATATCCCGAGCATTTAAAAAAAACTTAATAACGATCAATAAATACTTAAAACAGAATTAAGGAAGTAATTGGTACGAAACAAACTATTAGAAATAATCTTCCTATAAATCTAAACTTTGAAAGTAAAATTATTACAAATAAATCTTTAATTGCTGAAACACTTAATCAATATTTTTTTAGTGCAGGTCCCACATTAGCGTTGAAAACAGGAAAAAATAAAGTTAACTTTGAATCATAACTTACTCCTAGTCAGACCTCTAAATAGGATATTATGGAATGTTTTTGGTTTTTTTTATTAATTTATATTTCGACGTTAAATTATATTACAGATAATTTTTACGTAGTAAATATCAATAAATCAAATATTATAAAAACAGACGGGGACTCAAAGAAACTATGGATAATGCAATATCACCTCAATATTTTCATAGAGCCTATTAAAATAATAAAATACTGATTTTTCAAATTATAATATTATTCAAAAAAATTATAAAAATCTATTAAAGATATAAAAGTGACAAAATGTGAAATAAAATATAGATATAATAAGAAAGTACATTTTTTTTACAGTTACAAATATGTTTTGCAATACCTTTATTGCAATATTAGGTATTTAAAAAAAAAAATAAAAGCAAATATAAAATGATTTAATAAATAATACATTAAAAAACCCATATATCATTAGTTACTACTAAGAATCATAAGTAAAATTTATTAATAATAATTTAACAATATAGTAATATTTAAAATAACATACAATATACAATAAACATAAGTAAAGTTCATTAATAATAATTTAACAATTTAATAATTTATTTGCAATAAATTTAAAAAATTGTTTCAAAATTTTATTTTTCTACAAAATAAAAAATGTGTTTTTTTGCTTGA